CCCCCCCTCCTTCCTCCTCTAGCCTTAAACAACCCACTAAACCTTCCCCAACCTATTGTCCACCTCTTCCCTAGCCGCCAACCTACCATCCCTGCCCCCTCAGCCGCCGATTTGCCACCTCCTCTCCCATCCACGTCCAACCGAACAACGATCTTCCATCCCCTCCAATCCTAGCCACCGACTAACCGGCCATTACTTTCCGACGCCTACTCCACATTCCCACTTACGAATATTACTCCACAATCAGCTCGCCGACACCAACACCACCATCATATCTTCTCTTCTGGTCCTAGTCAGAAATCGGTGTTGTTGTATTTCGTTTACAGTTTGTGTCGTGTTTGCAACCCTAATTCAGTTGTTTGAAAAGATTTGCTTCCGTTCACGCTGGTTTGAATTATTTTGGTATCATTTGGTATCAAAACTAGTTTAACTCTAGTCTTAACTTAGGATTTCCTAACATCCGCCATAACCCAAAAATTTTTCGTTCTACCACTAAATAACATTTCCACTTCCACAAATCTCAAACCTTAACCATGCCACAAAGAAGATTTATGCTCAAGTCTACCCGAGAAGAGATACGACAAGAGCTCCATCATTTTCAACAAAGGTTTGCGGAGAGTGATGAGAAAACCCAGGGGGAGGTTACCCTCGACCAAAATCTAGAGAGTCAAACGGGAAAAAAAGAAGAGGATATGAATCTTTTCCACCAAGAGAATTCCAGAGATGAAGAAGACAGACCAAGAAGTTTCAGAATCTAGTACCAGATGAGGCGTAGAGAGGGGTATCTGAATCCCTCCATAAGGAGAATTTCAAAGAGGGAAAAACATTCGGAGGGAAAAGAGATTTCAGCATTAAAATGAATCTGCCAAAATTTTATAGAGGCTTTGTTGTTGTTGTTGTTGTTGCCAAAATTTTATAGAGGTATGGATCCAGAAAACTTTATTGATTGACTGCAATATGTTGAACGGATTTTCTAGTATAAAGATATGTCAGAGGAAGATAAGAGGGTCAAATTAGTTGCTATCAAGTTGAAGAAGTGTGCCTCTTTGTGGCCGGTGAACTTACAGAGACAAAAAAAGGAAAAACAACATAAGATTACCGGGTGGGCGAAGATGAAGAAAGCGATGCAAAGGAAATACCTCACACTCCATTACCGTTAGGATATGTTTTTTAGGCTCTACCACCTACAACAGAGGGATCTATCAGTAGAAGAGTAAGTGAAGCAGTTTGATCTGTTGCAAAGGTGTGATTTGGTCGAGCTAGAAGAGCATACCAAAACCTATTATTTGGGGGGCTAAAGCTCACTTTTAGCAACGTAGTGTGGCTGCAGCATTATTCATCACTAAGAGATGTCCAGACCTTAGCACTAAAAGTAGAAAGGCAGCAGAAACAGAGCAAGCAACCACTCACAATTGGAGACACCAGTAGGAGCACGCCTTAGGAAGTTGAGAAAGCTGGTTTGGATAAGGATACAACCATCCCTACTAAGAAGAAGCCTGAGAAGAGTAGCATGCCTGCTACAATTCTGGCTAGAAAATGTTTTAAATGTCATGGATTTGGACACATTGCCCTACGATCTAGATCGTATTTTTTACCGAGCAAGGTGTCGTGGAGGAGGTTAGCGATGAGGAGAAAATTGAAGAACTGAGTGGGGTGTACCATCTGCTACCAGATGAAGGAGAAGTATATATGGTTCAACGAATCTTTAGGCTAAGGATATGAGGGATCCACAGTGGCTTCATTACAATACCTTCAACACCCACTGCATGGTGAATAGAAAGGTATGCAGTCTCATCATCGACAGAGGCAGTAAGAATGTGACATATACACAAATGGTAGAGAAGTTGAGTCTCATGACTCAGAGACACTCTTAACCATATTCTCTGACGTGGCTAAAGGAGAATAGATTCAGCATTGACCGGAGTTGACTAATGGAGTTTTCGATCGGTAGCCAGCTATAGGATCAGGTGTGGTGTAATGTCGTTCCCATTGATGTCTGCCACATTTTGCTGGGGAGACCATGGCAGTTTGATCGAAGGAAAGCACGACGGATTTAAAAACACATATTCCTTCACTAAGGATAGAAAGTGAATTTTCTTACTTCCTTCGACAGAGCTCGAGATCACAGGAGCCTTATCAGCAGAGTAGCATCGGTGGCAGTTTTGGTGACGAAGAGAGATGATGGGATTGAGACACCGGCTTCAAAGTTGGGACAGGCGTGACGGGGTACATTTCAGGATATCACGGTCAATATCTTGCAGTCAGCGCCACCACCACCAAGAAGGTTCAGGTTACCCCAGATCTGGTAAAGCCGACCGTGGATAACTCTAGGATTATTTAGCAAAGAGGCGAGACATACAAACTCAATTCAGTGCAATAGTAGATTCCCTGAAGATTCAACCGATGTGGATGCTTTCTCGTAAGTTGGGGAAGAGCCTCAGGTGCTTTGGACGGTACAGTCACTAGTGGGATTCAGGTGCTAGGATTGCAGACGAAGAGCTAGAAGCATCGACAAATGAAGTCGAAGCTCCCCCGACCCCAGGACACTGTCGCGGGACTAGGGGGATTAGC